TCAAAGAGGAGCCATTAAAGCCACTTTGAGATCCTATCTCACCCTGGTCTGAATGGCTGTCAGCAAGAAAGCACCCACATGGTAGCTCACAACTGTCTGTGACTTCTGTGACTCCAGTTCCAGGGGATCTGACACCCTCACACAGAGTTACATGCAGGCAAAAATACCAATGCACAAGCCCGGCAGTGGTGGCACACGCCTTTAATCCCAGCACTTGGGAGGCAGAGCCAGGCGGATCTCTGTGAGTTTGAGGCCAGCCTGGGCTATAGAGTGAGTCCCAGGAAAGGCGCAAAGCTACACAGAGAAACCCTGTCTCAAAAAAAAAAAAAAAAAAAAAAAAAACCTATCTAGGAATCCTTGAGAGAGGAACAGGAGGTGAGGAGTGGGGAAGACAGTTCACATGGGACCTGAAAGCAGAATTCTAGGAGGCTTTGAGTGAAAGAGGCCACGGGGGAGCGAGGGGGACAGGGAAGAATTCAGGAAGAGGAACAACAACAAATTTGTTTGAGAATGCCATAATGAAACCTAACTCTTTGTAAGCTGATATAATAATAATAATAATAATAATAATAACAATAATATAAATGAATACAAAATTATTCTAGAGGTCAGGCATGTAGTGTATGCCTGTAATCCCAGAACTAGGGAGGCTAAGGCATGAAGATTTAAGTTCTAAGCCAGCCTGGACTCCATAGGGATACCATATATTTGACATTCTAAAATGACTAAATAGCTTATAGGTTAAAAATAATCCATAAGAGAATTTTTCTGATACTGAAAACTAAATAATATAAGGATAGAGATACTGTATATTAAACAATATGCAGAGTATGGGGAGATGCCATGGAGGGCATCCACTGTGAAGATGCCATGGAGGGCATCCACTGGTGAGCTCGATTCTTTTTTAAAAATAATATTTTATTAAACATTTGAGATATTTAATGAAGTAATCCCTCTCTCTCTCTTTCCCTCCTCTCTCTCCTCTCTCTCCTCTCTCTCCTCTCTCTCCTCTCTCTCTCTCTCTCTCTCTCTCTCTCTCGATCTCAGCAACCATCAATTGCCAATAGCTCCTCAGTTAGAGGTGGGGCTTCATGCCTACCTCCCCTCCCCGTGCAGGGATCATGCCTGGCCTGAGCATGCACAGGACCGGTGCGTGCTGTCCCAACCACTGTGAGCTCCTGTGTGCACATGCCTGCCCTGCCGAGTCTGGAAACATTGTTTCCTTAGAATCAGCTTCCGCCTCTGGCTCTTACCATCTTTTCATTCCCTCTTCCACGATAATCCCCGAGTCTTAGGGGAAAGGGTGTGATGCAAATACTTCATTCCTGGTTTATCATTCCACAGTCTCTTAGTCTCCACACATTGATCACTTAAGGCCTCTGCATTCATCGCCATCTACCTCAAGAAGTTTCTCTGATGAGGGCTGAGACATGCATTAATCTCTGGGTAGAGCAGTAAGTCATTAGGAGTCATTTTAACACGATGTCCATTTAGTTGAACAACAGTGGTTTCTCCCCTAGGGCCTAAGACCTACCTAGCCATAGGTTCTTTGCAATCTCAGGGAGTGACCTCAAGTGTGTTTAGTTGTGCCCATGATGCCAATGCCACTATTGCCCCAGCGGGCATGTCTTCCCAGGGCGGTCATCACTGCAGCTCTCAGGGTTCACAGCTTGGGTAATATTCGTGATTACTTTTCTCCTCTGGTAGTGAACTCAGTTCTTGAGGCTGGAAAGTGTGTTAAAAACAATACTGTGGGCTGAGGATGTAGCTCAGTGGTGGTGGCTAACAGAAAGCAAGCCCTGGGTTCCAAAGCTAGCACCATGGATAGACAGACAGACAGTTTAAAAGGCTCCTTTTTATGAAGCACTTTGACAACATATAATGCACCAGTCAATTCCACTTCTGGGAGCCTATCTTGAGGAAATCCTTTACAATTAGGGCTGAGATCTACCTGCAAGATAGGCAGGCCACATTGTTTCCAGCTGTCAAAAGAAAAATATAAGCATCCCAATTGTCCTGGTTCAAGAGGTTAAAGGTCATATGGCATCCAGTCAGGATAGATTTTCACATAGCCATGAAAAACAATGATATGGAACAGTTCTCAAAAGCTGGGAAATGCCTCTGATAGAAGAGGACGTGAAAGAAAGCTGATCGCCATGAACAAAGTGATCTCAGCAGTGTCAAAAACAAGCACCAAGCAGAAGTCTGCAGAGACGCCAGAGACGCACTCCAGGGTCCTGTTCTTCTCTCATTTCCTGTCCTGATGCCCGTGCTTCAGTATATGCTGACTGCTCCTTCGTTTAAAAAAAAAAAATGCAAAAGGAACAGGGCAATCAGACGGCTTATCAGGTAAAGTACTTGCTGCACAAACCTAGTGACCTGAAATCAGTGCCTGGAATTCACATAAAAGTAGGAGAGAAGCAACTTCACAGAGTTGTCCTCTGGCTACACACACACACACACACACACACACACACACACACACACACACACACAAGAATTTTCTTCAGCAGTTGTGAACTACTCAATGTGGATGGTGGGAATTGAACTTGAGTCCTTGGCAAGAACACCAAACCCAGGGTACTCCATCTGGGCGTCCTTCAAAAGCAGACCAGACAATAAACAGCGATACAGTCCATCATTACCCCTTATCCTGTTTTGTTTCCTGCTGTCAAGTGTAATTGTGATTTTAATAGAAAGTTCTAGAAACAATCAATTCATAAGCTTTAAATAAGTTCCTTACATTATTACGATTCCTCAATTTTGTTACTATTTATTATTGTTAGTTTCTCTCTGTGCCTTATATTAACTTAAAATTTATCATAGATCTGTGCATATACAAAATAGCAGCATTTTATTACTTATGTATCTACTTATTTCCAAGTTTTTTGAAACAAAGTTCTATGCAACCCTGGCTGACCTGGTATTCACTAGACAGCCAAGGCTGGCCTCTAAAACACAATCCTCCTGCCTCAGCCTCCCTATCGCTGGGAATGCAGGCATGTGCAGGCCCGCCAAGCTGACAAGTTTCTAGGGCCAGCAGCCTCTGGGGTCTCAGGACACATTCTCCAGGATAAGACATGACACTGGATTATCACACGGCTGTGAAAATGGTCTAAAATCACACATGGTGGTATGAGTGAATCTCACAAGAGTAAATCTGAGGGGAAGAAGGGAGACTCGAGAAAGTGTTGCCCACGTCCACAGACATGGCCCTGGCCGGACTCTACCTCTGCGGGTGAAGTCAGGAGAGTGGACCCTGGGCTGGCAGCCAGCGGGAGCATGAGTGTAGTGTTGACTCTTAACCTGGATGCTGGGGACAGTGAACTTGTGGACGAGTACTGGGCTACAGGCTTATGATTGGAGTGCTTTCTGTGTGAATATTGGCATCAATATGAAGGTTTCACAGTGGAAAACAAGTCCTAATGGTACTTAAAAGCACACTTGGAATTTATTTCCTCTTAATTGGATGAAGTTTCCCGAGAAACCCACTGAGATTCCTAGAATTTTTATTAATAATTCAAGTCTCCCAAGCCAAGATCCTGGCAGAACAGGATCTGTGAAGTCACTCCCACATCCTTTGTTAGGAAGACCCAATTCCACCCTGGCTGATGTCCCCTGTCCCATAGCTGATTGCCTCTCCTGGCAGGTACATAAAGGTGGCTCCTCCCACTGTTAACAATGAGCTGCTGTGATCTGATGCACATGACACACAGAGACATGGACAGAGCATCACAGGGCCACACAGCAGTGCCTTAAAGGGAACAAAAGACCAGCTCTAGACACTGGAAAGAGAGAAAAATCCACAAAGATGTCCTCTAATTTTTGCATGTATGCTGTACATACATGCCAGCACAAATACACACACATATATACATACACACATACACACCACCAAGTCCAGCGTGTCAACAACACGCAGGGGGTTGAAGCAGAAGGACCTCAAGTTCTCACCATGATGCCACAGATCTGAAACTGTACGTCAATTAAATACTTCCCCAATTAAACACTTCCTTTTGTAAGTTGCCTTGGTCATGGTGTCTCTTCACAGCAATAGAACAGTAACTAAGATCGCAGACAAGTGAATCGCACCTCTGGATGTGTCTCTGAAGGCATCTTGAAAAAAACAATAAGCAGAGAAGATATGCCCAAATGTGGGGTATCACCCTCCCAGAGGTTGGCGATCCAGACAGAACAGATGATAAGAAGAGAGAGAGTCTGTGCTGTCTGTTAGTGTGAAGGTATTTCCTCTGCTTCCCATCACCATGAGCAGATTCCTCTTCTGTGAGTCCCTGCCATCATGATGTCCCACCTCACCTCAGGACCAAAGCAGCCCACGGACTAAATCCATGAGCCAAAATAAATTCTCGCTCCTTTAACTTGTCTCTGTCAGGTCGTCTGTTCCAGCCAGGAAGTCGGACCAGCTTAAGGCAAGAGATGATATAGTATGTAGGCCAGGGGAGAGGGGTGAGCTGGGAACCATGGTTACATTCTGCTGTGAATTAGATCTGATGAGCCAAGATCCGCTGCAGATTTTTCTCTTCTTTGCTTTGCTCTTGCCATTCTGTGGATGGGACCCAGGGCCTTGTGCATGTTGGTTGCCCATGCTGGCCTTAAATGTCCGAGGCCTGAACAATCCCCCTGCCTCAGGCTCCCCAGCAGCTAGGCTCAGGAAGAAAGCAAGCAAGCAAAGGAAAGAGGGCAATGTGAAAGAATGAGGACATAGAAAGAAAAGATATTTTTCACATTCATTTATTTTGTCGGCAGCATGGGGCTGGTAAGTACGGCATGCATATGAGGTCAGAGGCAAACCCATGGGAGTCATTTCTCTGCTTTCACCATGTAGATCCCAGGGATCGAACTCAGGTCTTGAGGCTTGGCGGGAGAAGCCTTAACCTGCTGAAGAAAGCATTTTTATGTCATGGTATTCCTAAGGCCCTGCCTCCTCCCATGAGGTCTTGAGGACTGACCCACTGCAGTGGATCTTTGAGGTCTGGTGACCTTCTTTCTCAAGGACATTATCACACCCACCTGCCTTCTCCATTCCCCAGCTATCACTTCCATCCTTGAACAAAGGCCTGGTGCTGGCAATTGGCCAGCTGATAAGGGCTTGATCACTCACAGCTCACTACCCTTCACTTAGGATTAGTGTTACCCATTTTTCACTTATATATCAAATGCCTTCAGCTGGGTCCTCCACAAAGAAGAGAGATTATTGAGTTCCCAGGTCTGGAAGTCCAAGATGAGGTGGGTGCGCTGTCTCTGCCTCTGGTGAGATCACCCTCAGCTGTGTCTCATCATGGCACGTGAGAGCACACGCCAGAGAGGTAGCACGTGAAGAGACAAGAAGCCAGGCTAGGTGTGATGGCTCATGCATGTGATTCCACCCAGCATTTAGGTTGAGACAGGATGTGAGGGGCCAGCCTGAACTCATTAGTAAGTTCCATGCTAGCCAATGTAAGACGCTGTCTCAAGCAATGAAAGAGAACAAGCAGGAGTTGGAGTAGACAGAGAATCCAGGGACTGGTGCAGTCGTCCCTTGGGAACAAACTAGGGTCCCCTAAGAACTGTGCTAGTTCCACATGAGTGCTTCCCCGTGGTGACTCACCACCTTCTGTGAGGCCTCCACCTCTTAAGGGTCCACCACTTCTTGCTGTCACGGCACTGACACGCAAGCTTCCAACACATGGACCATTAGGGGATAAATGACATTGAAACCTTAGCAGTTAGGCTGTAGATTTCAGTGCAGAAGAGGCTTACCAAATAACCATGGTGTCATGATACAGACCACACTCCTCCCTTGTGTGATTCTCTCTGCACGGGTAGCCCACACAACGCCAAATACAAAGTTGATACACAGCACCATTTATCTTACACGGTCTCAGATTACACTGTGCTTTAGTTTCCTAAAAGAGAGAGAAAAATAGAGAGTCACAGATTGAATCTAGACCAGGGGACAGGAAGGAGCCTCCATCCTTAAGAACGTGCATCTGTCACTTCTGGTCACTTCCTGTTGACCACAACTTGGTTACAAATTCACCCTGGCTATAAAGAAGTCTAAGAAATGAAGACTTCATCCCAGGAAGCTCAGTGACAGAATTGTCAGCAGGTCAGGGAGCAGGGGTGATCTGTGGTAATAGACAGGTGGTCTATGGTGATTGGCAGGTGATCTGTGGTTAGACAGGCGATCTGTGGTGATTGGAGGTGATCTGTGGTGACTGGCAGGTGATGTGATGATTGGCAGATGTTTAAACTACACAGTTGCCAGGTGTTTTTAGCATCATTCCTCATGACCCTGCCCTTGGTGAGTCCCAAAGTATCTTATCATCTGAGCTTCAGTTCTACTAGAAAGATCAAGCCAGTCCCACTCCATAGGGGGACATCTCTGAGAGTGTGTGTACAACAAGAGATGTGAGCGCTGCATTGCAGCCCCAGGCTGCTTCTGGACTTCTGGACCTCAGTGGTCACGTCAGTAGAGCACAGATGACAGTGGGCAAAGTACTGAGCCACTATGGTTGTGTTTACGTAATAGTTAATACAGTTGACTCGCACTGTTCACAGTGATTGTCTTCTGGAATTGCTGTGAACACTGAGTTAGCTAATATGGAGCCATCGCTCCTAGGGAAAACTCAAGGTTAGCTTCTCCCAAGCCTCTACTCACATCTTCATCAACTGATCAATGCATAAGCTTGTCTTATGTGCTTCTGTTTAAGGACACTATACTCGGTAGAGGTTATTGACTCATTGACCTTTAACCCACAGCCAATGGCACCACAGCTCATGTCCGAACAAGGCTGATCTACCACATCACAACTGTCCTGCACACCCCACCACTGTACTTAGGGCCAATTTAAACACCAAAATAGCAACAAAACAAAAGCACAAAAATAAATGAGTCCTCACAAAACGTATTTTCAAGAAGAGCCTTGTTTAAATTAAGTGGAGGCAGGAAGGTGGGATATTGCCTTGTCCAGGCTCAGCTGGGAGACTCGGGTCCCAAGCTTTGGCTCTCTCTACTCTGTGCATGTTCAAGAATGGCCATGGGCGCACCGGGAGTTGATCTGAGCCTTATGTGTACAGTTTGTTAAGTAGACAAATCAGCAAATGTGGGGTCTGTGCGTAGTGAGTCTAGAACGTTCACCGAAAGGCCCTGGGGCGGCCCCCGACACATGGGAAGCACTGGGCAAATGACCCCACCTTGCTGGGACAGATACTGATCTTCTCCCTTCACAGAGGAGGAAAGTGGGGCTGGAGAGAAGGCTCAGTGGTTAAGAGCACTTGATGCTCTTGTAGAGGACCCAGGTTCAAATCCCACTACCCACATGGTAGCGCACAACCATCTGTGACTCCATTTCCAAGATCCAATGCCTCTTCTTACCTCTGCAGGCAGGAAGCACACGTGGTGCACATATGTACATGTAGGCAAAACACTCATACACATAAAATAATAAAAGAAATAAATCTAAAGTTTTAAAGAGGAAATTGTGTATTCCAGAGGTTAAAGGCCTGGGCCCCAGTCACCTGCTTGGACCACAGTGGTCAGGACTTGACCAGAGGTTTCAGCCTGGGTCCCTATTTCTTGTGATACTGTCAAGGATGGGGACCATTGCTCTGCCCTCACTGCCTCCGAATATGTATAGGCACTGGCCATAAGTGCGTGCACACAGGCAGCTCATACATGCCAACAGCATCTCCTGTATTTACACAAGAGCTTCCTTTCTCAATGTTTCTCAACTCTGAGGCACCTTAGGAACAAGTTGTTTCCCAGATTCCTGCCTGAGACAAGGAATTCTTCCATGATCTTCCCACAGTTTCCAGACCTCCCACTCTGCCTCAATACCCCTCACCAGGCCAGCCAGGCAGCCAGGCACACAGAGTTCATGATGTGGCCTCTCAGCTCCCTCCAGAGCTCATTGAGGGGCTCCCTATGGGCCTGGCTCACTCCACCTAGAACAGGAGTCCGTGAGAAAGGAAGAAACCCAGGAGACAAGAATTGAAGAAGCTGGGGCCTCAGGAGCCCTCACAGAGGGAGGCTGGTCAACACAGAGACACTGTGAAGAACAGAGCAATGAGGAGCCTGTGATGCCAACATCCCACCAAGCTTTCAATAACATCTTCATGCCCCTGGGCCACACGGCCCACCTTGCCATTCATCAAGCCCGAGTTCCTGGAGTAGAGTCAAGATTCACTCTGGAGTCTGGAATCTGGGAAGGTATGCCATGCAATTTACATTCGGTGCATCTATTAGTAAGGATCAATAAACCATAGCTTGTAGGCCACATGCTTTCTGGTTGCTCCCACCAGGATCCTGAACAGTATCACCAAAGCCACCAGCTTCTCCTGGTCAGACACAAATGTGTTTCCGGTGCCAGGATACCAGCCACCACCCTACTCTTCTCTGACTCCCCTTTCCCGGCTTCAGAAGAATTTTTAATCCCTTCTCTTAATGCTCAAAAACAATTCTTGAGTACAGCATGGACAGTGACCTTTTTTGTTTTGTTTGAATTTGTGATCTTTCTCCCTCTACCTCCTTCAGCAAATCCCACCGGCGTGTGCCACCACAGTCTTGCTTTGTTTTCTTGAGACAGGGTTTCTCTGTGTAACAACCCTGGCTGTCCTGAACTTGCTTTGTAGACCAGGCTGGCCTCAAACTCCCGGAGATCCACCTGCCTCTGCCTCCAGAGTGCTGGGATTAAAGGGGTGCTGTGCAAGGCTGACAAGGGACATCTAACAAGCATCACCTCAACCAGGCAATCAAGGTCACCCTCAGCAGCCATGAGTGGGGTTGACCCTATGTGCCCTCAAACAGGGCGAGAGCAGAGTGGTACTTCACGTCTGTGCCTTTCCCCAACATCTGAAGCAGGAATCTCCTGCCAGTATTCCTCAACACTGTCAAGGAATTCTAGGAAGCTGTCACAACCAAGGGCAGTCAGTCTAAGGAGCTCAATGACTGAATGTGACGTATACCTGGATGGATGCTAGAATGGAAAGGGGCCATTAGGAAGACGGGAAGCTGAGGTGGGGAAAGAGAGAAAAAAGTAACTGGAATAAAAGTGGGGGGCAGTTGATAATAACAGATTAATACTTGTTTGATAAGACTGACATGAAGTGGGGGCTGGAGAGATAGCTCAGAGGATTAAGAGTACTGGCTGTTCTTCTAGAGTACCTGAGTTCAAATCTCAGCACCCACATGGCAGTTTACAACTGTCTGTAACTCCTGTTCCAGGCGATCTGACCCAGTCACACAGACATACATCTGGGTACGTAAAATACAAATAAATTAATTTTAGCCAGGCAGCGGTGGTGCACGCCTTTAATCCCAGCACTCAAGAGACAGAGCCAGGTGGATCTCTGTGAGTTTGAGGCCAGCCTGGTCTACAGAGCGAGATCCAGGACAGGCACCAAATCCACACAGAGAAACCCTGTCTCGAAAAAAAAAAAAAAAAAAAAAAAAAAAAAAAAAACGACTGACATGAGTCTATGGATGAAAGCTATGGGCAGCTAGGGAGGGCAGACACACAGAACAAGGAGATTCTTTGTACTGTGTTAAGACTCCGTGGATCCAATTTGTTCTCTAAAATAAGAAAGGTTTTCTTTTTTTAAGCTAATCAAATGCGTAGCTATTCCATCCTTCCCATCTGGAAGTGCAAAGCCTCCTGGTTTACATAAGAAGATAGTGTCCCCAGACCCCAGCCTCTGATGAGGTAGTGTTGACACCCGGCTCTGCTGTGGCCTGCTGAAAAGCCCAGGGTGAGTTACTGGTCTCCTCTGGTATCTGTTTCCTGCATACTAATGAGGAGAAGGTAATGACCAGGGCATCTATGTCAGGGAACTATCAAGAAAACGTATGTGGTTCATGATAGGGCTGTGGCCGAGGCCTCCCAAGCCCACATAAGACCTGAAGGGCCATCCCTTCCTGTGGCACACAGGCATAAGGAGGTGGAAGGCGGGCGTCTGGGAGACTCCTGGCTGCATAGTTACTCAGGAGCTTCCCCGGAATACTGGAGGAAGTACGGGGTGTTGTTGTATTGCTTCAAAGGAATTCTGGTCTCCGTGTTCATGACCGGGGCATGCTGGGAGCACAATGCCCGGAAGGCTACTCATGGCCCATCAAAACAGACCACGTGTCTATTGCCTTCCTTTGCTTCCCAAGAGAACCGGTCATGAAATCTTGCTGAAGCACCCCACCTCTGCCCGGAATACCTGACTCATTGCCCACAAAGAAAGTTCTAGAAAACCAGAGGTCTCCAGCGCCCTCACCAGTTGGGTCACCACAAGATGATTTCAAGGTGGCCTAGCCAGAATACCTTAGGATGACCCGCCACTCCGCACTGATGGAGCATCCTTAGTAAGTCTCAGAAGGACCCTGATGGGTGGGCTGAGGCCCGTGACCGGCCTGAACTAGATGTCATTGAACTCAGGTGTGAGATCTTCCCTCTGCTTATCTGGATGACCTTAAGCCAATCATTCAACTTCAACCTGTCACCAGGAGAAATAGCACCTGTATGAAAAAC